GTTGTCGACAACGGAGAATAGTCGCTCAAACGTTGGGTGTTGCTCTCTGGGGGCGCTTCTAAGAAGGGGTGTGGATCTTGAGCGACGGGGTCGCGGCGCACAGGACGTCTAGGCGCGTTGCGATCAGACAACCTTCCAAACCAGGAGGAAATAGTGTTGCTATCCTGAAGTGGTCCATAGGTCATATCGTGGTCATCCTCATCGTCGTCATCGGAGGCAGGCGCCCACCCATAAAGTGAACGAGGGTTGGAGATGCGACCTTCATAGTTGGGCATACTGTTGCTATTATTATTGCTGCTGGAGGAATCGTGTTCACGGCGCACGATAGGGATGCGACGGTTGATTTCGACTGACATGCGCAGAGCCGTAGGATCATCCACATCCATGGGCTCGGACTCTGGCAAGGTCTGTTGTCGACGACGGCGTTGACGACTCAGGGAAGAGGAGGAATCGGGTGGAGAGCGTACTCGAGATCGCAGAAAGCTCACGTTATCGTCATGAACATCGTCGGATACGGCAGTTGGAAGAGATGGAAGGGGAGTGGAGACAGCGCTGAGTTGTTGAAGCGAGGAAGCGGAAGGAGGAGAATGAGGGGTATTCTGCTGCGAAGATATGAGATATTGAATGGAGAGATGATATGGTAGTATTAGTTTCAAATAGAGCTCAGATAATCACGTTATCGGGGACCAGATATCCATCATTCCATCTCCCGCGTTATCTCTCGGTGTCCTCCCACAGTTGGAAAAGAGATAGATGTGTGTATAGTACCCGACCCCGTCGCAGCAAAGAAGGAAAAACAAGCAGACAAAGAGAAACCTACCGAAGGCGAGTTGGCCGGCGGCATGTCTGTCCGAATGCGAAGGCGGTTGAGTGGCGGGCGCAGTCCGCCGACGGATCAACTTCACGATAAGTGTCGAAGATCTGCAGTTGAAGGGAAAGGGGCAAGCATGCGATCAACGATTGCAGTAAGTGGCTACTACTACAACTACTCCTCAGCGTAACTGGGGTAGTAGGAGACCATTTAGGTTTGGTGGTGAAGAAGAGATGAGGAATGTAACAAGAATGAAGAAAGATCGAATGATTCGTGGTGAATTGGAGTTAAGTTGGAAGAGTTGAAAATCACCCGAAAAGCCGGAGAAGTCCATTGGATTGCCTAATCGAGGGAGGTATCCAGGAACGTGATTCAATCCTAGCCCTATTCGATGTTAAATCGTATACTAGAAAAGGCATTACATTCCCATTCCCCCTCTCATTATTGGGTACTATTTGACGTTTATTCAGTTTCCCGACAATTATCGCTCGCTTGGACATGCAGCGGGAAACTTCTCGAATTCTAGAATCCTTCTTCAGCACTCTGCAACTGGCTGCTAATTCGACTTGTTGATTCTGCTGCAGGATGTCCCCACTACGCCTTCTTCAAGCATAAAGGGTTACTCCCACTGATTTTCTCAAGGCCTACGCATCGCATGCATTCTATGATCCCTTACAGTTGAGCTCATCGGTCCCCTTCCAGAACGTTGAGCAACGAGCCTTGGGACTTTACCCCTTACATACCTTGCTCAACAACACATTCATATCCTGAGTTAGAACTAGAGCCTTTTCAGCTCTTAGCTTTTTTGAGTCTTCCTACTAAGTACACAGGATTGAACGCCATCTCCTTGACACCTTCATGATCCACAAATATTTCATCATTCGGTAAGTCGGGTTAGACGATGCGGAGAATCTCCGAGTCGTGATAGTCCCCCCGCGTGGGATAGCATCAAATGAGCTGTGAATATTGTCGATTCTTACCCCCAATCCTCCCATTTCTGTCTAGATTCCTTTCTTCTCCCCTCTCTTTGTATCTATTTGAATTGATATACAAAAGCCTAGACTTTGAACTTGTCCTGTGGTGCTGTTAAACGATTGGTTTCCCCCACGTTATCTTCTCCAACTTCCCCGCAATCAACCATGGCCAAGATCAAGACCATCGAGTATTTCCGTGTCCTTCCCAGATGGCTTTTTATCAAAGTAGTAGATGAAGATGAGAACTACGGCTGGGGTGAAAGTACACTCGAAGGGCATACAGAAGCCGTTGAAGGAACGCTCAATGCGCTGCGCAAGCGCTTCCAAGGATACGAGGCCGAGTATGTTCCCACCCTCAGCCCCCTCAGCATTAGATCGCAAAAGGGCTGATAGATCAGTGATATTGAACACATTTGGCAAATGGCCTGGCGTCTCGGCTTCTACCGCGGTGGCCCCGTCTTCATGTCCGCCATCTCCGGTATCGACATCGCCCTGTGGGACCTCAAGGGCCGCAAACTCGGCGTCCCAATTCACCAGCTCATCGGAGGAAAGGTCCGCAATAAGCTCTCCGTCTACGCATGGATCGGCGGTGACCGACCGGACGACGTCGAAGCAGCCGGCAAAGCACGCCTGGCACAGGGGTTCAAAGCGATCAAGATGAATGCCACGGAGGACGTGAACTGGCTGGACTCGCCGCGGGCGCTGGAATCTAGCGTCGAACGTTTGAAGGCTGTCAAAGCGCTGGGTCTGGATGCTGCGCTGGACTTCCATGGCCGCTTGCACAAGCCCATGGCGAAGCAGTTGGCCAAGGCGCTTGAACCTCACAAGCCGCTTTTCCTCGAAGAACCTCTGCTCTCTGAGCACCCGGAGGGCATCAAGCAGTTGTCGGACCAGGTATCGTGTCCTATTGCACTGGGTGAGCGTCTTTACAGTCGCTGGGATGTGAAGCGCTTCCTGGAGGATGCCAGCGTTGATGTCCTCCAGCCGGACATCAGTCATTGCGGAGGTATCTCTGAGCTACGACGGATCGCCTCCATGGCTGAAACCTATGATGTTGCGATTGCGCCGCATTGTCCCCTTGGTCCTATTGCTCTGGCTGCCTGTATGCAGGTTGATCTTGCCACCCCTAATTTCGTTATCCAGGAGATGAGCCTCGGAATCCATTATAACACCGAAGCGGGTGATTATGATATCACTAGCTATGTGAAGGATGCTAGTGTTTTCGACGTCAAGGATGGTTATGTTGATGCTCTGACGGCCCCGGGACTGGGTATCGAGGTTGATGAGGAGACTGTTCGGCGCGTGGCGCAGACCACTGAACCCTGGCAGCCTAAGGAGTTCTTTGGCCCCGATGGTGGTATACGCGAGTGGTAATATGCTCTGTGATTTTATCGCAGTTCATGCTCTGGGCTTGTTATATAGCACGATGGTCGCATAGCGGTAGCTGTTATGAATGATGTACGACAAAGCTATGATACGAAAAATATCTTATTAAACTCTTGCATGCGCAAATAACCTGCAGAAGTCTTGGAATCTCTCTAGAGTAGACAAATAAGCTTACACAGCTTGTCTAATCGATAGACAGCCCATCTTAAGGGTCAAACAGCCCATCCCTAACATCTTCATCTATATATCACGCCAGCTTCCGCGCAGCATTACATTCATCCGCACGTCTAAGGCAGTCAAGTATCATATTCCAGAACGCATCCAGGTCCACTCCCCGGGGAATCGCAACTCCATTAGTACCAGATATAACCCTTGACCGACCAAGCTCGCCGACTAGCTCGACATCGGTCCCGTGGAGACCATCAGTGACGACGTCGACATCAAATCGCTCCCCGTTCCTATCGTCAAACCTTAAAACTTGATCAGGATGCAGTTTCGCATACACCGGGTTAAGAGATGACAGGATTACCGCGACCGCAAGAGGGTCGTGCAAGGGAGGCCCACTAGTCAATCCAAAAACATTTTCATAAGTTAACGCAAAGAAAACAAGAAGGTCGAATAGCATCTGCCGGAGAACTGTTGGAGAAACCGAAAGGTCATCACCATCATGCAAGACGCGGGACTGCACAGATTGCGAGGCGAGGACTTGATGTGTTAAGTCAAGAGTGATCAACGTCGTCTTGGAAGCGAGGACAGGATTGCGGAATATCGACTGGGATGCCTCTGGGTCGCACTATAGCAATCGTTGTGATGTTAGAAATAGATCTAAACGGCCGCTATGAAGAAAGAAAGAAAAAAAGTCCGTAGGTTGCGCGTACGTAGATGTTAAATTCCGCCAGAGGGGTGATATTCCCAATCCTTGACTCTTCACCAATAAGTCGACTCATAGGTGCATCTGTAAAGCCTCCGCCAACCCCACCACCCATAATACTTAGACCTTGAATATGCTCTGCTACTTCAGGGAATGTCGCAAAGAGCAAAGCTACGTTGGTTAAGGTCCCTGTTGCTATAACCCAAGGCGTTCCCTTTGGCTGTGCTAAGAGGGCATCTCGCATTGCCAGAATTGGGTTCTTGTCTGTAATTGGGGCCTTTGTCGCCTTTGGTAGAAGTTCGGTTCCGTCGATACCGGAATCACCTGGAAGAGAGGTGAGAAATCATTGTCTAGCTTGGGATCTGGCTTGGGCAGCTTAGCGGCTAAGAGCGAATACTTACCGTGAATATTGGGAGCATGGATTGCAGGCCTACAGAAAGGCTTTTTATGACCTGGATATACAGGAATATCTGGTCGCCCAATGGCTTCCAATATCCTTGTAGCATTGTTGGTTGTGTTCTCCAAAGAGGCATTGCCGTGGACGGTGGTGATGCCCAATAAATGCAGAGAGGGATGATGGGCAGCAAGAAGAATGGCGAATGCATCCTGTACACCATAGATATATCTCTTAATTTATGGTCATGGGAATACACTTTCGATAACATTTCAAACTCACATCGTGGCCTGTGAACCGCTGTGTTAGCATACTGACTAGGTTGTATATCCATATCCCATATGCTCAAGTTCTACCTACCCGGATCGCAGTCTAGCCATAGAGGAATAGGGATATCCGATGATGAGTGCATTGCGGCGTTCTATGGGCAGAGCTAGAGAACTCAATGAAGAATTCAGGGGTTAGATATTACCATGGACTTCGTAAGTTGGCTGATCCATGGATGACAATGGCGGGGGAAAGTCACTGATAAGGCCCCCTTATCGATTATGAGGAAACCCTAAGCCCTGAGCACCCCCCCAAAGAGGAATCTCCGCGTGGAGCAACAGCGTCATCGCAATCGCAGCTTTCCCCGGAAATCTTCCCGCGAACTTATTGTCCTTGTACGATTGGAGTTGTTCACATTTATCCCCTTGCCTTATCGACGACGGTTTCGATGTGACATCCCACGTTCGCTACAATTATACCCTTTCATTTTTGGAAAATCTATCTATAGACATTGTCACTGGAATGAAATGAGCGGCGAGCCTTGTCGTCCGGGGCTACATCCGCTTTCACATCTCAAAGCTGGGCCGACAACGTCCAGCTCCAAGTCAACAGCTTCGGCAAATGTGCGGCCATCTTCTCGGGCTTCACATAGACCCCGGCTACATAAGGCCTCTAGCCGGGATACTCAGACTGACGCGACGGGCGACAAGGCAACTGCCGCTTTAATCCGTCGCGTCCTATGTTCCCAGCCGAGTAACTTCGGAGGCGCACCAACGTCACTGTCCCCGGAAGAATTGTTACCTCCACTTACAAGCTCGAATGAAGTGGATCGTGAGCTGTATGCCTTGATCGCGGTTATCATTAAAGAATTCGTCTTCTCCTGGTATTCAAAAATTACATCGGATCAGGTTCTCGTCAGCGAAGTCATCCAGGTGATTGCGCATTGTACGCGAGCAGTGGAACAGAGACTGCGCGACACTGATGTTTCACAGCTAGTTCTGGACGAGATACCGACTTTGGTTGAAGAGCATATTATCTGTAAGGGTGGAGCTAAAATACTCTTTCTATCGCCTTTAGACTGTTGAGACATTTTTGCTAACTAGCCTTGGAATCAGCGTACAGACTAGCCAGAGAACAGTCTCAGCTATCTGGTCTTACCTCCCCTGCTCGCGAGATCTATCATAGTCTTAACCCTCATCCGAGCCTTTCTCCAATCCCAGACCCGACGGATACCCACACCGTCACCCAGCAAGCCGATAATGAAGCCAGATATAGACAATTATTGGTGAGCGGGGTGTTGGCTGTGCTCCTGCCAACAGAGGATTTAAAGAATGCCTGCTTGCGGACGCTAGTTTGTGATATCTTGGCAGATCTAATCATTGGAAATCAAGTTAGTGGGAAGATGTGCGAGGGGTGGTTCTTGTGGGAGAGTGTCACAAAGCTGATTGACCTGGTGGGAAGTCACCAGAGTCATGAGATTGATGCAACAACAGCAGTACCACATAGAAAGAATCAGTTACAGAAGTTCAACCTGCTATCTCCCCAGGAGGACTTCCAGGAACATCATTCGTCGTCAAGTGTCCAATTGCGGGTCCCAGATTGGGCGTGGAAAATCCTTCAATTCGCCTTCCTAGCCTACGTGACCTTACGTTTCATTGTGACGGGCATTTTTCGCGTTGCATCCACTCCAGTGACCTCGTCGCCTTTTACCGGCAACGCAATCGAGGCGTCCGCTTCATGCAACCCTCCCCGGAAGCGTCCCATTCTCAATTATGGACTATACGGCATGTTTTCGCAACTACTAGATATTCCCCGGCGGATGCCATGGTTGGGAGGGCTGCTGGCACTCTTTCAATACTTGATCTTAGCAGGTCCAGGTCGATTAGGTGACACTGATAGTGTTCTTGACAGGTGAGTTGTACATTTATTTTGGGTGTCTTTTTTCTTTTCTTTTTTTTTCTTTTTTTTCATTCCCTTTTCTCTCATTCCCGCGAAGTCACCTGTGCTTCTTATCACTCGTTTATCAGATGAGACCGGAGTAACTTTAGGAGGGCGGGACTTTAACTGTGGAGAAGCGGTACGGTTCGATATCCGAACTATGATCGACGCTGGTACTGGAAAGTACCCTTTCCTGTCAAGGCATCTAAGACGAGTCATTGGAAGATGGTCGAGAAGCCCAGCGGGACAACGATGCAACTGATGCGCATTGCTCGCATGCTGCAACGATCACTTGATCTGGGTGTGGATGCACAGGCCATCCTTCATTTTCCCAGTTTCTGACCCTGATTCGCCCGCTGGGCCCCTGCACGGCCGTACTGTCATTACGAGGTGTGACCGGCGCGTACTGGTAACTTACTGTGTTCGTATTTGAGTTACCGCCGAATTACTCCATGACGATGGGCCTATGAGCAGTTCTCATCATCATAGCGTGATGCTATTATTATTATTATCATTATTATATGATGATAGTCATCATACTCTTCGCCCCCTTTCTCGTCTGTCCTCTCAACCAGGGCCGGAAGGTTTGAAGTTGACGGGTCATTCCCTGCCCGAAATTGGCTGGGGCTTCGGCCATTCCGAAGGGGAAGAACGTGTCCGCTCCCCTGTCAATCAACTCTGAATGGGCTGGCCCGTCCCTTTCCGTCCCGCTCGACTCCATTATCCGTGCAACTCCGGCCTTCTGGAAACATTATCCACCGAACAATGGCATCAAAGAAAGGAAGAGCCCAAAATTTAGTATGAGAAAAGAAAGGAACGATGGGGAGACAATTCCATGGCCTTCAACGGACTTGACAATGCTATTGGTGCTGTCCTTTCCTGCCGACGACAAAGGAAGGTCATCCGCTTATCCTTATCCCGAAAAGTGGGCGCCTTTCAGTTCGCCGTTCATAAACCAATGCAAAGGAACGATACATGAAATTAATCATGGCGATCATCCTAGGATTGGTTGAGGAAATAACCATGCGACTTCTAAGGATTGGCATGGATAGGGCGAAGTTCTCGCTTCCCTCCTTAATTTTCGAGCCAATCAGCGAAATCCCTCGCGGGGACGATTTTGAATTCGAATCCCGGCTGCGGTCACCGGTGTTTAGACGGCCTTATGAAGCCTATGGTACGGCTCGGAAAGAATGCCTTCTCTTGGGGATGCGTGCGAGATGACGAGTGGGAGTCTCGCCGCCATTTCCACTTGTCGTCATCTTCAGCATTGGGCCCTTGTTAATCGCACCAATCGATGGCCCAAGCTCCACACATTGGCCAAGCCGATCGCATTAGGTCTCCACCCAGCCATTTTTCCTGTCTTTGTTTGACTTTTTTTTTTCTTTTCTCATGAGTGACCCTCCTTTCATTCGGCGTTACACAACTTCCTTTCTAGGCAAAGGACCTTGATACCCTGAACCGCTTCTCCACAGTCTGGGGTTCGACCGCCTACCATGTCCGACCTTCCTCCGTCCGTCTGTGTTGCGCAATCTGGCTGTTGCTGATTTTCATGTTTCTCGTTTGGAGCGTCTGGCTAACCTTGGTCCGAAAAAATTTTCATGGTTGACTCCACTAGGTTCCTCCACGAGACCATTCAGAATCATGTCTTGTCCCCCACCTTATTGCCCAATCTCCTCCGCGCGTCCAGGGCGGCACTTTTCCCTTCGAATGCTCGCTCAACTCAGGCGGCCGGCGCGAATCAAGAGGGCGCTCCGGTTCCGTATTCGCCCGTACAACCGCCAGCGTCCCCTCCGGGAACGAGCCCGCCTAGCGATGCCGCTGGCGCAAGTAACGCCAACAGTAGCGTCTTAACGACTAGTATTTCCGCAACTGCGCCTTCCTTATCGCCGGAACAGCGTCCTACCGCAGCCGAAATCGCTTCCATCAAGCGAAGGTGCGCGGTAAGCATCCTGTCATTGGTCCCTCGTCCCATCGCGCGGCGCTTCTTGGGTGTTCCAGCGAAAATTATCATTGGACAAATGCCCCCTGAGCGCCAAGAGCATTTTAAGGCTCCCAATGAACAGAACCACCAGCATTCGGAACCAGTTTATGCCTTATCACCTGACCCATTATCAGACGATGATCTGGAAGAGTCGCTCCTCCTCGCGGCAATTGAGAACGACATTCTGGATCTATTCGCTGATGAGTATTGCAATAAACATCTAATCTACTCGATCATTGAAACCGTCCTAGCAAGGCTTCTCCCCGAGCTATCGGAACGCAGCTTAACGGAATTGATGGAAGACCGGGGCGTGTCTTTAGACAGCGACTGAAACCCACTTATACCGACAGATATAATAACAACAGAGAGCTATAATGTAGGGCCATCTCACCGAGAGTGAACAATAGCTTAGGGATACCCTGCCCCATTGGGCAGAAGTTTTAGAACAATAGATCAATCGCATTAGAGACAGGCACTGGCTCGGCTAAAATGAGAGTCGTGTTGCGCAACAGAGTACGATAATTTTGGTAGGCCGATAACCTTATCAAACCTGGTTAGGTCTCAGGCCTCCAGTCGGTATTCATGGATCTCGTTCGGTTTATGCATTTCTGTTCCCTTCTTCGGGACCACAAAATGTGACCTGCAACGAAAGCCCTGTCCCTGTCCGTTGCATTGAGGGCTCAGGGGTTAACGGGCGAAAATTAACACAACATTATACGTTAGAAATTATTACAATGCATTCAATCATATGCAGTAAGAATTGAGAAGGTGGGAAGGAAAAACAATAATAATAATGTCTGCAGAACAATTAACAGGTGGCGTTGGCTCACGGCGGGGTTCGACATGCAGGCAGGTGTATGTAAGTGAGGCACCTAAGGCACAAAGAGCCCAATGAAATGCATTTAGTCGGTCAAACCATGCAAGCCCCATTTTTTGTCGTCAGGGACAAGGCACAATGCGTTAATTGGAAGAAATATACAGGGAATTAGATCAAGGAAAAATGACGCAGAAAATGCGGTGAGAAATTGACAGCAATGGAACCTTGGAAGATAGACATAAAAAATAGCCAAAAATAAAAAACACACCAGAAAAATGACAGCCCAACGTGTCGCATGTACTCGTTCCGTCCCGTCCGAAAACCCTAAATGCTGATGAATGTAGTGATAGTAATTGTCCTATGCAGTTTCGCGTGAGCGATTCCAGTGTAGATGATGTTTGTCCCGTCTGAACAGTCTCGAATACAGAAAAAGAAAAATAGGGGGATAGCGGAAATAGCAAGAAATGGAAAAGAGTAATTATAGCAGAATAAACCCATTAAGCCCATGCATCACAAAAACAAATACTCCACCTATGGACTGCGAGCCATGCCATACCATCTGCTAGGACCAGCATCAGTGATTGAATATAATAGGGGTCGCCCCCTTCACATGTGTATCTTCTGATTTTGCTTTTCACATGAACCTCAGAAACTGTTGTGTTGGCTTAATGAAACAGGGAATCATCGAGCATGGCGTACAAATGCAATAAGTCAAATTCAAAAGGCCACCCAAAAAGCAGGGAACAAGGGAAACATGCTGCATCAAGATATGGGTGATGTTAAACGTATAATAGAGCCGATAAAATCGAAGTTGTTTGCAGTCAGCTAACCGCTAGGAAATAGGTCATACACCCGATCGCAAATCGTATGCTATAATGGATCGACCTTATGGAATACGGCCCAACCGAAGTTATTAGCCAAGACTGCGAATGCTTCGCTTTTTATGTAAATGCGGACCATCGTCATGCTCGTCGATGCGAGTAAGGCCCCCAGGGAGCGTAGTCTGTTGGGACTTCGCGAGTTCCAACCTTTCCATTAACCCTCCAATGGTTAGATAGTCTTGAGCACCTAAGCCGGTAGGTTGGTGCTCGAAATAGTTCATCACCAACTCTAATGCCCTCCGAGCTTCATCCTGGGTTGGCGAGCCAGGTGAACTTACAGGCGAAACCGTGGTTGACTTCGGAAACAATGGTGGATAAATGGATTTTGCCTTGATTTCCGGATTGCTGCGGTTGCGCTTGATTGTGCTGGACGAGGTATCGAGACTAGGAATAGCCTTTGGGTTGTACTCATCCATAATTGGTGATTCTTGTAAAGTGGTTTGTTGCGTTCCAGTCTTAGGTGAAAGCTGATCAGGCTGTTCATCAGGCGAGAGCACATTTGGGTCGACGCTAATGAAAGGGAACGTTTGGCTCCGCGGTCTATTCGGATTGTTACCGGTAGATGAGTTGTGTGATTGACTAGCGGGAGTGAAGGGACTGTCTGTTACCAGTGTTGATGTTGGACTGGTCACGCTGGCAGAGACAGAAGATGTGGTATCAATAGAGATGGTGCTTGTAGAGTGCGTGTTTTGATAGTCTCCCAGAAGGTCACAGAGACTATCTGGCCTGAAGTTCTCCTGACTCTGGGTGGGTGACAACGGCGAAGGGGTCGCAAACCCCGTGGGAGAGATAGGTGAAAGGACGCTGGGTGACTGTATGGCAGATGCTATCGCTGAGTTTATACTCAGCCGCCTGGGGCTTTCCGAATCACTCTTGGCGCTGAAAGAGCTCTTTCGGGACTTTAAGCCCACCAAGTTATTTTTGTGTTTGAACTTTTCCAGCCAGCTTGTGCTCAGCACTTTCTCTTTGCCATCAGGGCTACCGCATGTATTGGCGAAGAAGAGGGCTTTTTCCCTGATCATCTCATCACTGAGTGGATAGCCGTGACGTTGGTAGTTTCTCACCCAGTTAGAGAGAGCTTTTTCTATATCGGGAACCCGCCCCTTGGATCGTTTGATTGGGGAACGTGTCCCATCATCGGGATTAAGATACTTCTCTTTCTGACGTAGCACTTTTGAGACCGTACTTCAGCAGATGGATAACGTGTCAGAACGGATTTACTCAAATCAGAAGTAGATGGGAATGCGTGGATTTATTACCTTCGTTCCACTCCAAATATCGCTGTTCATGTTTTGTCAGTTGATGTCCACATGAAGAGAAAAAATTAGAGTGAAGACTGACCTCCAATGTCTGTTTGCTTGGCGGTTTTGTTCTCTTCATGATACAAGCACATCCGCCGACGATCATCATCCGTAAGCGTCCTTCGCGGTGTCGAGTTACTCGTTGATGACTTGCGTGGCGGCGGCGGTGGTGGCGGCGGTGGAGGGTTATGTGTGACTGGCGATACCGCTGGTGGTATGGGCACAGGCGGCACGCTTCCCTCTGGAAAAGGGTGCTGCGGGTGAGTTGACATCATACTGGGCCACGTATTCGAGGGCATAGTTAATGGAAGTGATGCATACGGAGGTGGTACAGACACTCCGTACGCTGACTCCAAAGGCAGCATGCCGTACCCAAACCCATGGTAATCAAGCGGTGGTGACTGCTGGGAAGGGCTGAAACCACCCAAATCCAGCCAAGGCGACTGGGTATAGTCATTATCTTGGGCGTGTGTGCTCTCTGTGTCCATGGTGGCAGAGGCGAGGAATATCATGAGAGCACGATGCCAAAGGGAGAAACAAAAAGGGGTATGTTACTATGGGAGTGGCTCTGGCAGCACTGGGACAGGCTTCTAACCAGGCCGTTAACGGATATAAAGAAAGCGATGGAAACAGTGGCACAATGGGCAGGAAAAAAGTAAGGCGAGCTATCTGAGAAAGTTGGACCTTCTCTACATCCAAGAATAGTATAAACGAGGATGCATGTTCAGCACAGAGAAATTGATTACACAAGCTGCCGTGCAAATAGCAGTGGTAGTAGATATGTGCCGAATTGAAGCAGCCAGCAACAATGCGGTTCTCACGACGGGAGGAGTTCTTGCAGCGCCTGGATGTCTGATATCTAATCCGAGTCGCCCACAGCCGAATGTATGCGCACAACAAGAAGAAGCATGCAGACTATATTATTCTCTTTTGTACAGGGGAAGGACGAAATGAACGGAGGGGCAATGGTGGGTGCGGGTAAGGCAAAAAAGACATAAAACGGAGTTAAAAGGGTCAGACCGGGACACAGGCCCAGGGACGATCAGGGAAGAAGTAGCGAGTAGTAAATAAGGATCGTGGAGGAGCAGGAGAAAGTGTAGGGAAGAAGATAGATGTATACTGCGTACTGGCGATGTAAGTATGGATGGGATGGAGTCAAAGGATGTACCTCATCATCTGGGCCCTGTGGTTGGTTGCGACTGCCTTTCTAGTCCAAGCAAGTCGTACTTGATTCGATGGTCGACCGGGACCAGGTCTTGCATTTCGACAGGACCATCTTTAGCACTGCCTATTTTGTGCCTGTCAAAAATTCGTTTAGAAAAAGAAAAGCAAAAAAAGAGAAAAAAAAAAAAGAAAAGAAAAGAAAAACAATAATACTATAATAATAAAAACTATAAACAAAATTAATCCTTAAATAACAAGGGTAATAAATTCACAGACACGAAGAGCTACGACCGACGGGACAGGCCAGATAGCGTACCATACGAATAAAAAACCAAACTTCGCACAGCGATTGGGCAGTGCTTAGAAAGTAAAAAAATATAGTATAATAATACTCCTGGAAATGGTGGGGGAATTCGCCTCTGATTGGTTGCTGGCTAGATTACAAGGACAGGGATGTCGCTCGAGCCTGAATACCACTAAGCTCGTACTCACTCATACGACGTTCGGTTTGAATACTGTATGAAACGTGACAATGTTTCCTACCAGATGGCTAACGCGGTTGGGAATAGTAAGACTTGTGTTCTATGTGAGCTTGACTTCTTGTTATGATAGATGGAACTTACACAGCGGAAATTTTCATGGTGTTACAACCAAAAGTCTAGATAAATGAGAAAATCGGGTACTTGGACAATTGCCTATTCTAGTATACTCCAGGCAAGAATTGTAGGAGCAAATTGGGTACCCGATCTAAAAGGTGGAGCGGAGATGCCAGAAAGGAAGGAAAAAAAAAAA